ATATATATATATATATATATATATATATATATATATATAGACAAACCTTATGGTTGTACGGCGGTGAAGCATCAGTGGCAACACTGATGTAGCTGTCCTTGATGATGATGATGATGTGCCCTGTTAGACTCTTCAGCGTATGGCGCCTTACTGATCGCAATCTTGATCACGTGGCCAGTTCTAAGCTAACGCAGCGCACTGAGCTTTTTTTGGCGTCGCTGACAGTTGGCATTGGGTAAACCCCAGTGGTAGCCCCTTGTACCGCTGTGTTGTGCTCTGCTGTTTCATTTCAGTGGTATGGGTTCCTCGCTGTTTTTCCTAGGGATATATTATGATTTTTGCAGTATTTCCCCACCCTTCCCCTTGTCTCCTTATGCAAATGTGTGCTACGTAAATGACACGAGTTTGTTTTGTTTCTGGAGCACTTTACTTTTTGCGTTCCGAAATGAGATTCAGTAGTTTCGGTTGGGTTTTAACTCTGGAAATCTACGACGAACCACCGGGGAAGCTGTACAACTGTTTTATTCTCGCTGGCATTCGTCAACGATGCACAGCCTACGAATCACTAGAGGGATTCTAACCTCTATCTTTGGACGTGTAGCTGAGCACCAGACCGTTCGGCCACGTACAGCCGATAAAAAGTGTGCTTAATTTAGACAAACTATAGCGTCGATCAGCCTTCAGTCATTCAGTTAACATTATATATCGACTGGTTCGAGTCGTGACTTCTCAAACGGGAGGCTCGTGTGACTTTTGAGATTTTTCCTTTCTGAGCGTGTTGCCCATGGTTTGTAGACTTGACCACCTTTCTGTGGCCACTGGTGTTTTTTTTACCGAACACTGTTGGAACGTCACAATACGACAAACATTCTTGGGCTCTTTTTAACTTCAAATCTTTGCCACTGGAACAGAAAAATACGTGTTTCTTGAACGCCGACAATTTTCTGCTGGGACGAGCTCCACTATGGATTTTCAACACAGTTCTGGCAATCAATACTTCTTTCCTTCTGACACTCTAGAGTCCAGTTGGAGTTCATGCATTTCATTTTTTGCCTTGGTTGGAATCCACACAATCTGCCATCCGGAACCAATTTTCTAGCGTGTGAATACAACCAGTGGTCCACTAGGCAACGGCCGTAATAGTGGCATTAGCTCATTTAGTGATAATAACTGGCCCGGTTGACCTCATTTCACAGTGTTTCAGGGAACGAGAGGAACACTGTATGGAACGTTGACGAAAACACGCGTGTTCAGTTGTTTTTGTTATTTTGCCGGAGAATCAGTAAAAAAATCGCCTTACTTGTTACAGTTAATGTGAACGGATCGGGGACGTTTTCTTGCGCAATTTTTACCTATCCATTGCCGGACAAATTTCCGATCGACAGACGTGTTTCTTGGACATACTGCTTGCCAGGTGGAACACTCTCTTGGTGGCCAGACCCTAGACCCAGCGTTCGCGAACTCTTTGTAACTCTAGGTGGAACACGTTTGTGGTATTAGTTATAACTTTGTCTCTGCGAGACTCACGTTTTCTGGCATCTTATTTTCCCTGTTCTTTTGTCTATTAATCTTCAGGTTTCCGTAAACGACGCAGCATGTACGACCGAAGTGTAAGTTAGCTTTTGTTCGTCATATTCTTCCTGGTGTTCTTCATCCCATGTTCTATTTTCGGCATATCTCTGGCTACCTTTCTGAGCCATTTATGTACACCCCAGCGACAAACAGTTGCGACAAACGCCGCGATTTGTCCCCGAAAGTCCTAATACTGGACACCATATTTCGATCCTTTGCACTTCATTAGTCCTTGTAGGTATGATCTTTGAATTCAGACGATTTACTACCCTGGGTGGACCTATCGTATCATTTCCCCCCTAAGCGCATAAATCTCTGACAAAGGGTTGACAACTATCGACCTGTTACTGTGTCCGATCTGTCCGGAGGCCAGCCGCTCTTAATAACCGAACATCACATCGATCGGACGGATGTGTCACGTGTGGGCTAAGAACCAAACGAAAGTGTGTCTTGATTGGTCAGAATGTCAGGTGATCTGGATAGAGCATCTATAATTTAACGCCTCTGGCCTCCTCATGAAGATTCTAGCGCCACGTCGTGAGACATTCTATGTCGGAGCAGGAAGCTCAGAACCGACACAAGTTGCACTACCGTCAGCAAGCTACAACGTTTGGTTAACAGGGAAGGCCTCACAATCCTCCGGAAAGCTGTTCAAAAGCCACCTTGAAAACAGTAATTTTTGGCAAGGAAACCGTTCTCCCAGTCCCTATGCAAGGTTATCGCTGACTAAATGGGTGGTGAATGGTTTCCAAAACACCAGTTTTCGAACGGTCGTCAGTGAGAACCTGCACCGCTCGAACTATGTGGGCGACGTCATTCTCATGTATGAGGGTGTGGCGGAAACACATTTAGATAAACCAAGAGGCGTTATATTTCGGAAGAGTTTGGAGAACAATCCGTTGATTTAATGTGCCAGAAATTACCCGATAGCACAACGCTTAACAGCGACATCGTTTTTTATACACACCAAGACTTTGTTCTCATATGTCAATTGATCCAGGTTTTCGGGAGATTTTGCACTTACTCGAGATAAGTCACCGTGACAGCGATTTCAGGAGGATGTCCACTGCCGCGCCATTCGAGCGGTAATGGCAAACCAGTGGTCGGACGGCTCCTGGTTCTGTCACTTCGTGATATGGTAGTAGGGTCGGGCAGGTGTTAATCAGGAAACGCAGCAGGTAGATGTTGAGGAGAACTGGCAAAAGCTTGATAAAGACGTAGATGGCTGTAAGCCAAACTGCTAGTTATACTCTGTCCTTTCAGTCTAACCCAGCGTTGAATGTTTTCAGCGGTATCCTGTCAATGTTTTGGGTCTCAGCTCTTCGGCACTCGTCCTTTTATCGGTTGAACTTCCCTTTCGTTTCTCTCAGTTAGGTCCGGCGCGTACAGGCAATGTATCAACGCATCGGATGCACTTGAATGCAGGTGGGCTGTATGTCCACAGCACTCGAACACAGTCCTTTATTACCTACTGGATGTTGCCACCGGGCCTGAGTGATAAAACAGTAACCTACTAGCCCCGAAAATATACAACACCCAGCAGTCAAGCTTCGTAGCCATATAGTAATAGTGCGCGCACAATAGCGTTGTAGCCTCTTCCCTTCACTGAGGAACTAACTTATTGTTGTCGTCTTTGCCAGAGAATCGCTGACCTACACGCTTGCAATCCGTAGTGATGTCTGCTATTCGACTTTCCATCCGAATATTAATTCAATATATAACTTCATCCAAGCAGAAATAGTCAGGTGTAATTGTTTTTGTACAGTCTGGAGTACTGTTACATGAAAAGTAGCAATCTTTATTGGCATACCTTGGTCACGCTGCCACTCACCTGAACCATACCACTGGTGTACCCCATTTTATTCATTCGTTAACCTGGAGGATATTTTTATCCCGTCACTAACAGTAAAAGTTCAACCAGATTCAGACAACAGCATTAGTAGCGCAGCTAAAGAGGACTTCCATTTGATATTCCGCTTTTAAAGAACGGCTATTATTACGGTCTTTCCATGAGCCTCTTTGAAAGTCTCAAGCCACCATTGGCTCACCTTCGGGCTTCCTTCCGGTGGCATGGCAGCTAGGCACCGGAAGGGTGCTACAGCTGAACGCTGATGAGGGGTCACTTCTAAAATTGGTAGCTCTTGCAAAGTAATTGAGGATGATTCTACAGTGAATGGAACCACAGTCGGGCAGAAAATAGAACTTAAGACTTCAATACTTCATCCCAAGACCTTTCCATCCATATCTTCGTCCACCATATTTTGTTTGCTCCACCGCCTCTTGGCATAGGAGCTCGAGATTGCTCAGTAGTTAAGACGCAAACTTGCAGATCGGAAGGTCAGTGGTTTGAGCCCGCCCTCTGCATCTCAACTGCTCCTGTCTAGACTGAGCAACCTGGCATTATCTTGGCTCTCATGATTCCCCAGCTTGACACAACAGTATGTGATATAGCTAGACGATTACCACATTATTATTATTATTATTCCCAATCCAGGTATCGCGAAGTCGTCAACGAAATGGGTGTCCACTTCATCGATCCAGTTCTTCTTCCACCGTTCGCCTAGATGACTCCACTGTCACGCGGCCTGATCCGAAATCGACAGTCAGAGCTTTGTCGCATGCGGTCTACTTGCAAATAAAAAATCGCGATCGACGCTGTCCGAGTTCATATATGCCAGAAATTTTCGACGAGCGGCTGCATCCCGTGCAGGTGAGTGTGAGCGGTTGTCAAGGCATCGGACCGAAGCTGATGTTTCGGTGATCTAAAGTTAGCGACCGGACAATCTGGGGCGGTTTGGGTTAGAGAACAACTTGGAACTTGTGTTCTTTCTGTCTGAAGTGCACTATACACTGCATGGGTATTCGGAGCGAGAGGTGCATCAAGCAGAATTGCCTCAAATCCTCTCTTGCTTGTTCCTTGCAGTAGTTCCTCTTTTTATAAGAAACTTCCGCTTTGGTAGTTACCTCGTATTGTCTCTTCGTACAAAACCCCTGTTTGCAAAACTTTCTGAAAGAACGTGCTAGAAAAATCCTTAAAGAATCCGCGCAGTGACCACAATACGAGTGGTTTTAGAGATCTATGGCCAGAATCTCGTTTTGCTTGTCAGACGAATCAGGTAGGCTTGGTTTCATCCTCCCTCCCCAGAACAGGGCAAAACATAGCGTTATTTTTACTCTGTGTCTGAACGCAGTCCACACCATTTGTTTATCATGTTCTGCGACAACAGCTTGGTTTTGCTAATGGTTGCCTCATGGAACTGTGAATCTTTGGTCGGGAGACGTTGTTAATCATTGTCAGGTGTGATGCATCGTTCAAAACTAAGAATGTATTTTAAATGGAGGCCCAGATGCCGAGATGAAGACTGTTCATGAGAGGAGGTGCACCTCTTCGAAATTGCAGGTCTGCCCGTAATTGATGTGAATTGGTGAAACACTAGAGCAGTCTCGTAGAATACGAACTGTAGGTTCTGTTGACTGACGTGGTTTTCAATTGCTTCATTAGATTATGGTATTCATAAAGTGGTTTTTATAGCTGTTAAACTGGCTTTGTTGTTGATCCAACCTCTAGAAAAACAATGTTTTGAGCTAAGAAGGCAGTTTGATTGCTCTTGATTGGCATTTCTTGTACGGAGGGACTACTGCACAGTGCGTTTTCTATGAGAAGAGTTCTCATAGAGGATTGTGATCTTCTTCAGTCATTCTTTACTACTGCGTCCTCTTTCCGAGAAAACGCTCTGCACAAGGTAACGCTCCACCATAATCCAAATTGATCAAGTACTACCTGGTCATTCAAATTGTCCGGACGTGGTCGCCACTGTTCAATTGGACCAGAACAACCGTGTCGTCCAACTGACCAAGGAGACAGTGATAACTTTAGAACTTGTCGTCGTGTTTACTCAGCAACCAACTCTGGATTACTACCGAGTCCTCTTTCCGAGAGAACATTCCGCACGGGGTAACGCTCTACCATAATCCAAATTGATCAGGTAGTGCCTGGTCACTCAAATCGTCCAGACGTAGTCGACACTGTTCAATTGGACCAGAACAGCCGTGTCGTCCAACTGACCAGGGAGACAGTGATAACTTTAGCACTTGTCGTGTTTACTCAGCAACCAACTCTGGATGAATACTGACCTCATTTTCCTGGGTCGCGTCAAACTAGGATTGATCAATGAGTCGTTTCACTCAGCTCAGTGAATCTTGATTTCACGTCATTCGAGCGTCTTTATCGAGAGAAAAAGAGCCATTCTTGAATGCGTGAGGTGACGATAGCGGCAAAGAGGCGTCTGGATTGTCGCACAAATTTAACTGGCATTCCTAGTTCTAGTTGGCAGACGATAACAAAGGGTTCCGAAAGAAGAATAAACTGGACTAAAGACTCATAAATGCAGCGGCAACCAATGCACATGAATGATTGCATTCAGTTCGTTTTGGTGGTTGTAGCCTGTGTCAAACACCTAAAACAAGGTCAGTGAAGTTCACAGACGACCGAACAGCCATGTAGACAAACCTGGACACATCGGTGGATGCTAACGACCTATGCAAGGTCAGAAAGACCGAATTCCCTTTATAGAGACTCTCCACCACGAGGGAACAAGCTTGGATGGTCTCGAGTGTTTTCTCTAATTGGAAACTACCGTATTTGATTTTTACTGGCTCCCTCAAAAGGGACCACTTTTCAACGGCTCCTTCGGGAGGCCTCTCCAGAGCGGCACATATATATTCCACGATTACCCGAGTTTTATTAGGTGACTCGGAATTTAATGAGACGTTAATGGAAAAATTACTAAATCTAAACGAATGATCAGGCAATGCACAGTTTTTGGTCGCTGTAATACATGGGTTACGCCGTAAATTTTTCGCCGTTGTTATGGGACAAATCTCTGGTTGGTCCAATGCACCGTCCGACACACCAACTTGGAAGATTTAAGTACTGGTCGCCCACATTTTCTGATTGATATGCCATCCCTGTTTTAACCTTTCGGTCGGTGATTGGCCAGCAGAACATCACAAAGACGGTGAAAATACCTTTGGGCGAAACCCCTTTTTTTCTAGGGTTTATACGCGACATACGGGTCACACGTGGTTGCAGTGCACACGTGCACACACAAATACATGACAAAAGATCATAGTTTTTATGGCCACTTCGACCAATAGACAAGTTTTTTGTCTGTCCGCTTAAAAAATGAACAATTGGTCTTCTGATCCAGCCTTGAAAATAAAATGACTAACTTCGAAGGTGGGTTTTTATTCGGTATCATGAACTATTCTATCATTTAACCTGTGGCATTTCCACTAGTGTAGTGGCAGTCACACTTCAATGTAGAACTGTTGCTTAGAAACGCCAACGGCGAATACCGCAGTTAGCATGACAGATCACATGGGTCATTGCAACTTTCCAGTCTTCGGTGTGCGCGCGACTACCTGACCCTAGCAACAGTACCACTGACTTTGCCACCACCCTAAATAAATTCGAAAGTTTTGTTGGAATTTGAATCAACCGTCATTTCACAATGAGGTTTCCCACAATTCTAGAGCCGTATTCACGGTCATTCGTAGTGAGTCTGCGGTATATCACGGTTAGCCTTGCCTGTTGCAGTTTTCATCGGCGCAATCCCTTACACGTGCTTCTAACCTCAGAAATAACGGCCCCCCAGAGATTTCCATTTTCGGTGGTCCCGAACTCCTCTTGTCAATCTTATTTAGCTCGTATCCACGGGAAAGTGTTCAAATTCAGTTTGTGTATTCGTTCCCTCCAGTGTATGAAGCACCTGCGGTCGTACTTCTGCCACTTCACGGATCTAGAATGTCACTTGTTTTCATCGCTGCTTAGTTTCTCCCCACGGACGCAGCCGGAAGATTCGTAGGCGATGTTTAGTCAGCTGTCTATGACCACTACAGATTTGTCCTAGTTCGTTCAGCTGTAACACCCTTTCGGTGCCTAGCTGCCATGCCACACAAAGGAGGCGCTGCCAGGTTGCCCAAGCCTAGACAGGGGAAGTTGTGAGGCAGAGGTCGGGTTCGAACCACGAACCTTCCGGTCAGTAAATTCGCGCTCTAACCACTGAGCCATCTCGCCCCCATTCGTCCTAGTTGTATCTTACAGGTTAGGGGAGTAGGATGCATTTGAAATCGCCGGTCGTCTGATTCTTCCCCTGAGCGTATCGGTACTAGGGATCTCGCTGTGTTACTCCTAACACTTTTCAGATTTTCGATCAGGAAACAAAGGCTTCCGGAAGAATTTTGTATTGTAACTCCATCCTTCCGTCTCCGTAGCGCAAGATTCAGACTTTGGCTTCTTGTTGCATCGGCTATGAATGCGGTTCTTGTAGATATGGACAATTCCGATAAGTTGGAAAAAGAAACCAGTTCATCACTCAACTACTAGGATGGTCGTGCTACATCTCACGGTCCATGCGGTCACACAAAAGTCTCGTCTTATCTGCAATGATGTCAACTTTGCCGTCTCACCCTCACTAGCATGATGCAATTGAGTTTTATACGCTAGTGTGTTGCCTAAGATCCTTTCTGCGAACAATTTTATGGGAAGTACGCTATAGACTCTTAATTCGAGTTCACTATGTAGTTCCACAACTTGGTGATATTGTAGCTCCAACCGCCGACATTTGTCTGGCTCTATTAGAGCTTCACCATTATGTACATTACTGGGAAGGTAGTGGACATCGTCAGCGCCGAAAATCCGTCTGAAAACTGAGCTAAGGTGAATTAGTGAGTCTAATAATTTCATACTCGTGAGGGCAGTGTTATTCGCCCTCCACTCGACCACTTAGTTTTCTTCACAACGCTTTATATGAAATCTTCTTGTAATCGACACACGTACCCTGAATTAAATGTTTGCTCTCACAGACTGACGACTGCCAGACGCTCGATCTCGGCTGTAGAGTCACTTGGTTGCGGCTCGGGTGCCTCTATCCGGGCGTAGCTATCTGGGTTGTTCGCACTGAAATTGTGTCGTGCTAACCCGAAAGGTCAGGAATGGGTGGTCATAACCAGTAAATTATTTGATCGATAACTTATCGGACATATTTTGCTAGCTAGTTACTTCCATGGTTCCTTTGTACCAGTTTAACTGGGATTTCTCAACGTTCTCGATTCGTTCGACTTTTGGTTATTCTCGCGTGAGGAGACTTCGTCATCAGCCTTGGTGTCAGTGAACCTGATGATGTAGTGATTATAGTTCAGTGATGTTGGGCAATGACTGCACGCCATACGTGCTTGAGTTAAAGAAAGAAGCTTTGTAGAAGCTTTCTTCGCTGTAGCGCTCAGGTGTGGCCTCCGTCGCTTAGCCTTAAGCGCTATCAACGTAGACCGCTCCATATCCATAGCGGCAGTCCCCTAACATGTAGTTGAAGTCCGATTGGCATCGTGTGATTCTAAATTGCCTGCTTGAGTTGTCTTGTGTAGTGTAGGTATTGTGCGTGAACCAAGCTTTAGACTGTGACATGCACGTTCGGACTTGTTGTCTACCTACGGAAAATGTCTTGTTTATGAATGACGCTGTTTTAGTTTTAGGTGTTTGTGGATTTCGTAGTATTCACGTTCACATCACTCGCGTGCGAACAGTCGTCCTTCCGTTACTTTTAACGTGCTTTATCGAGTACCATCTAGTCAGCTTGCAGACCTGTCGCCACTCGTTGACCAAACCAACGTCACTCTTCAACCTTGTGTGAAGCAGTGATTCATACATAAACTTGAGATTTTTTCCCTGGCTGGATGAACATAACACTCCATCACTCGTTCAAGCGAAGCAGTTCTCATCTTTGCTGTTTGGCGATTCGCTTAGTTCTCGATCTGAAGTGGAACATGGTTAGGGTTTTTATGAGAAAGTGTTTGAACCAACATCCCGATGAAAGATTTCTGCTGGATAATGTAATGTGCAGTGTATTTAGCAACTGCGCATCGCCTTTCATTCGTCTATCGTCACTCGTTCTGTGGGACCAGGAATCGAATGACTATATGTGCTTACAACTGTTTGAGAATGTCTCGACACGGCGCCTTCAACTCCCTTTCGGAAGAGATTTAAGCACTGTATTTTCCAACCCATGCCTCCCCCCATTCCACTCTAAGTGGTATTGCGAAAAAAATATGGAAGTTATTGACATCACTATCCTTGCAGCTTCATCACAGCGACCTGAGTATCCAAACTGTTGATTTTTTTTCATTAGAAAATTACTTGTGTTCGTTAGTTGGCCACACACAAAGTCGATGCTTCATCGCCTCCAGATATTTGTATGGGAATGCAACGCATGACTGTGTTGTTTTGCTCCTTGCTTTAAACTGCTGCCGTCGTTTATCGATGCTCGTTCCAATAAATTGTTCCAAATTACTGTCTACTTGAGTTATCAAGATGCTGCACAGGCTACTACTTGATACTGTCTTGTTGTTCATCTTCAAGCCTAATTGGTGAAATCGGACATGTATTTAAAAATTATCCGTAGCTACCACCACTAAAACGCAACACTGTATCGGTTTTTATCCTTCTTTTGCCATCAGAACGAACCGGTTCCCCCAGACTATGGATCGCATGACCCGGATCAAAAGAATGTCTATCGTTTTATTCGTAATCTCTTCCAAATGGCCCAGCTTTCTCCCGAGTGTGCAATCGTCACCATGGTAAGTTCTTAGAAAGTCTCTTATCACTTGCGTTTCTAATGTAGCTCACCTTTCTCCATTGAAAACTAATGAAGTATGCCTTTTGCTAAGCACTTCAAGACCTCGTTTCAGAGGGGCTTGGCAAATAATCGGTAGTTTTTAATCGGGCAACGTATCGCTTTTGGCACAAAAGCTTCATCAGGTCAAGTGAGCAGGTCTCCAAGTTGGCCAAGCGAAACGTTGCCCAATTAAAATTTACCGATTGTTTACCAAGCCCTTCAGAAACGATGACTTCTCGATCAGTTCCAAGCTTTTTCCAATTTTGGGACTTCATTTAATTCCTACTTGTAGCCGCCCTTTTGCTCACTCTTCCGTAGTGAGTTCCCACTTAGGGGCATTCAGTTTTCTCACGTGATCGGATTGCCCACAGGGTGGTTAATCTATCGGTATTTCTGTATACCACAATCTTCCAACGGCAAGAGAACCCGATACACAACGTTTGCATGCTTCCGTTGCCATGAGCTTAGTGACACATTTGGGAGTCTTCATCTATTAAGTAAATAACTTAAATTTGAGGTCATGACCCACTTGAATTTGATGCTCTTGAACCCAGCCAATCATATCCTTAAACTGAGTCGGCTGCCGGCTCACGTATGTGGCTGCGTATACTACTTCTGTGGTATTCGATCATCACGTTGTCATTTCCAGCATCTTTAATTAATCATCTCAACTCTGTTGCTTCCTTCCATTGTTCGGCGTGAAAACAAACTAGTCTGCCACTGTATTCTTCAACAGTTTTCAAGGGCCCACAAGCTACACTTAAATTTTGTTGGCATCGCTTCCTGTGAACGGGAGGTAAACAAAAAGCATTGATTTTCAGCTTCGAAATTTCTTTTAAGTTCTACAGCTTGACCGTTTTTACACTGGTGTATTATTGAGGCAGTTCTAGTGCACACGTCAAGGCTATACTTGTCTTTCCTCCTCCGTCAGTAATGTGGGTCACTGATCCTATTTTTCTAACCATTATCACCCTTCATTTGGACAGTCCTTCACCTGTCCTGGGGCGAGATGGCCCAAGTGATTAGAGCGCGAATTTACTGACCGGAAGGTTCGTGGTTCGAATCCGACCTCCGCCACTCGAGTTCCCCTGTCTAGGCTTGGGCACCCTGACAATATCCCAGCCCTCGTGCTTCCTTCGGGTGGCATGGCAGCTAGGCACCGGAAGGGTGCTACAGCTGAACGCTTTATCCTGCATAAATTTGCCTCACGTTGGAGTTGGCTTCTCGTACCCTTAATTCAGAAGAACCTCACACGGCGCTTCCTGTCTGTTGGATATCCCGTTTTGGTTCTGTTTAGGTGGCAAAATATTCTCCACAAAAACTGTGAAGTGAATGCATGCTTTAATACGAGCCAACATGCTTGCTTGAAGTGACATATTTTTCAACATGTTCTTTGAATTTTCAATGTGTTTCTCGTGTCCAACTGGTAATATTTCGTCGGTGATATGACCCACATTAGGCGATGATGACCACTCAGTAATTATAGGTTCATGGTCACCTGATTCACTGGACGGCATGCTTTGCCAAACTTTTTCTACTCAACTGTGGATAGAATGAAGGCGACTTAAAGGCGTTAGTAAAGTATAGAAGTGACGGGGGGGAAGCTCTCACACCGGCAGTCGTCGCACTCCCGTGCGGGCTCAACATGGAGATGTTCCTTCTCCATTCACCAGTTTTCAGCACACCGAAGCCGCTGTACTGATGTCTGTGATACTCAGGTTCTGCATCTAATTCTTGGCTCTAACCGTCCGCCTACCGGTAGTACTCTTCTTCCAACGCCCAGACAATGTTGTGGTCATTGTTTAGGTTTCGTTAACCACACCCTCCCTGTCATCGAACCTGTGTTAGAATAGTCTTCGTACATTCCGGGAAGTAAAAAACTCCCTTCCATCGTGTTGCAGTAGAAAAGTGGTGTTTGTCAGCATTTTTGAAAGCAACACCATTGAATTCCTAAACAGCTGTGACTCAATCGCATACCGATGAAGTGAAATTCTATTCATGTTGGTTCACGTTTTTGGAATCGGTTTCGCGATTTAGTTTCTACCGCTGACGAGCCCAATCAGATTGGTGGTCAGCGAAACTAGTACTGTTTCAGCAGACGTGTTGTTGGGTGTGCGTTTGCTTCACGCAACCTGTGATCATTTGTTCCGTTGGCAACTACATACACTGTATCGTAATTTTCTCTGTCAATCTGGATTACGTAGACATACATTTATTTTCCAATCATCTTTACTTTGGCTACAACGTCCTTTTTCCACTGGCTTTTCACTGTTTTCCGCCCTCATGTTTCTCCAGGTATACCTTGAACGTTTGCTGACCAGTGCCGAAACGGAGCTCACTCCAGCCACGTGGAAGCGTGCTGTGCTGTGTGCAATCCTATTGGCCAGCAAAGTTTGGGACGATCAAGCTGTATGGAACGTGGACTATTGCCAGATTTTGAAAGACCTTAATGTGAACGATGTGTAAGTCCAGTGTCTAGACTTACTGTCAATGCACAGTTTCGCCTACTTCATTAGACCTAGGTTTTCGAACCTAAAGGTCGATCGGAGACGAAAAATAACAGCGTTTCTGTCCTTCGTCCAGCTTTTTGTAGAGCATTCAACTAGTTAGGTCAACAATATTAGGTATCAACTGTTGTAGATGTGCAAGAGCGCGCCGATTCCGACGACCATCGTTGGCTTTGTGTGCCTTCAGGAAGTCGCCGTCAGTTATCAGCTTGGTTAGATTGAGGGCGTCTACTATTGGCACAGCGCTTTTTCAGTTTGAAATTTCTTTTTTGAGAAATGGAAGTGAATGGATTGAACAAGTCCACTTGTCGGCCACAGCCCAGTAGATTCCGTTTGAACCGACAGATTATGGTTCATCGGGCGTATTCAATAGTGTAACGGCCGCGTGATAGGTGGCAAACCAGACTACAGTTGCATGACCTTCATGAGTCAAACCATACTATACAGCTGCCAGGTCAGCCGGTCAGACCTGGTCAAAATGGTCCTTTTTGGATGGTGAATGACCCAGTCTCGTGTGACAACTGGATGACCCTTAAGTTCAGCAATTAGTTTTTAAGAATAGTTTTATGGTGCTTTCAATCATCAGGGCCCGTTTGGAATGTACTCGCACTCCCTAGGAATTCAAAATGAGTTGTTACTTGGAGCCCAGTCACCAGTTTCTTGCGGAAGCTGGTTGATTGACTCAGGCACTGCATACCCCTTCTTCAGATCGTTGGTTCTTGTCACTCACCCGGTCTTCCTTTGGAGCTATTAGGTTGGTCATCCTTTATCGCGTGAATAAAATCTTGTGGCATAATATGGGGTATAAACTCCAAAAAACTGTTCAGCTGTAACATCTTTCGCTGCCTAGCTGCCATGACCCCGGAGGGAAGCACGAGGGGTGGGATACCGCCAGGTTTCCTAAGCCTAGGCAGGGGAAATCGAGAGGCAGAGGTCGGGCCTTCGGTCAGTAAATTCGATCTGTAACCACTTAAACCATCTCGCCCCCCCCCCCGTATAAACCCGCCCGCTAAACNCCGCTAAACGGCGTAATTGTTTTTTTTTTACCTCCTGTCGACGAAATCCAACAGCAGAATGGTTGAACTTCATCTAATAATTGTGTGTGCAATGTTTCTGCATTCATCGAAGCCTTTCTCGACGTAAAGCTGACACTGCGATAGTTTTAGAGTGGTACACCCGCTTGCCTGCAGATGACCGGTGGAGGTAGTCTTCCGCCCATTCATTCATAATTTAAGTTTTAACTGTTTCCAGTGTATGTGATAATTTTTGAAATACACTTTGTCGAACGGAAAACTTTACGGTCGTCCCGATAGTCGATTACTGTGAGGCGAGTTTAACGTGAGTGGCGAAGCATATTTTCGTGACACACCACCACACTACTTATCAGGCTGCTGAAAACCTTTCGATAACCCACTACCTGTTTCGCCCTCCTTTAGGCTCATCAGATAGTGGGGAACCCCCGGTCGGTTCCTATAAAGTAATTCTGGTCAAAACTCACCAGAATTCAACCGACTGACCTTCTGGCTTAAAGTTCACATACAGCATAACTGAACCATGTGAAATCCCACGCGCTTCATCTGGAAAACTTCATGAGCGATTCAGTTATACCTCGCGTTTGAATTCTCCCTGTTTATCCGTGAGTGGTTTAATCCACTTGTCTTCAGTTGAATACTCAAGTAAGGTTAGCGAAAATAGAGCTATGCGTTCGAAAAGAACGCCCGTGAATGCACCTAGTCATTTTGGATCTCTCTCTCTCTCTCTCTCTCTCTCTCTCTCTCTCTCTCTCTCTCTCTCTCTCTCTCTCTCTCTCTCTCTCTCTCTCTCTCTCTCTCTCTCTCTCTCTCTCTCTCTCTCTCTCTCTCTCGATCTACTCACATGCTGACTTTCTACTGACTTCATTCTACCTCAGTTTTCCACATTTTCCGTGTGTTGCATGAGTCTAGTGTCTGTAGGATACAAAACTGCATCTAACAGCTCTTTTCCATTCACTCGCAACCCCATTTTTCCACATGTCGTTTAAATCGAGATTCAGAAATGTTCAACCAACGTTGACGAATGGCTAGAGGTACAGGATTTTCATAAAGTCACTCCGAACTCAGCTCAGTCAGCGCCCTCAAACAATACACTGAACTTTATTCCTTCTAGCTGAACTACGCCTACTGCGCCCTTTAAGTAGATACAACACATGGTCACATGATGGTGCTGCAGACATTCGATTCGGTTTAAGTCCGGATAATTCAAACCAATAGTCGAACAGAGGCCACGGTTCTGTCCGATGGAACTGACGTGTAAATGCTCTTCCGTGTTGAGATGATGTTTACGACTTAGTCGTCGCATGTTGGGAGGAATTGTCGAGAATGTCCTGGCCTTTTTTCCCATTGAACGTACTACGGTTCATACCGTCTCACAGTAGTCCCTATGCTTGACTGATTATTGCGCATTTATCTATTCTTCCCAAGTTTAATGTACTCTCCGCTTATCAGAAGGCTCTGGTCCTGTCGAATTACCTTTGTCTTTTGACGATGTGGTGAAGTGTCCAACTGGTTCAGACTTCCTTATCCACCGACTCCAAGTTGAACGCTAACTTGTCTTTGTTATCTTATTCTTTCTGCCAATCCACTTGGTAATGTCCCTGTCAGGAGATTAGCTAACACCTTTTTTCCGTCGGTCCAATTAATCTACTGTGACACGTTTGGTGGATCGCTTATATCAGTAGGCAAATACGTGTCCTGTCAGCACCGACCCACTACGTGAATTTACCTCGTCATACCGTATTACCATACTACATGCCTTCTTGACAAGCATTGCATACAATCACGTGACGTCGAAACTCGTCGTTGTTGGTCTAGCGAGGATCGCTCTTGATATGCTGTGTGTAGGAGCACCTGCTTTTTTTTATCACGGTCGACTTCATCAGAACTTCGCATCTTCCAACTGTGAGTGACGCCTCATTCGTCCGAAAGGTTTGGTTTGAGAACATCACCAGTTGTCGTATCGGTTATTGTGTCCCAGTTACCGTTGGAGATATTTATACTGGAAAAAACGTGACGTTATGCTTAGCAGGCTGATAGTATGCGAATTTCAGTTTGTTTTTCAAGCATGCATGGCAGTTGGCTGTTACTGTCAAACTTGCGAATCCAGTGCATTTTTTCTGCGTCTGAACTCTTGACAGCACTGCGCAGGCAACTATGTTAGACGACATAAGTTCGATAACCTTACTGATGGTATTTGGTTGTTGACTAGTCACGTTTGGTATGCTGCAAATATGCAGTGCTACACGTCTGTATGAAGTTTGGAAGGGTGTCTCCAAGTCCAAGCCACGCGAATGCCAGTTTCTCGTCTTTCCATGACACATTACCTGTATTTTTCCATGTTAAACTGGGCAGTTTTATAGCCTTGGATTTCATCCAGATCAAGACGAAGATTGAAACACTGTGCATCTAATCTTCACAGTGATATGAACTGCAAGCTAGTCGTGCTACCGGTAGGCCATCGGTCATCATACGGCTGTGGGTTATCTAGAAATCTTCGGAGTGACTTTCATCAAGTGCAACACAACTGTACAACTTTCCTTCTTGGCTTCAGTCCCTCTTCCCGATGAGATTCCAAGTCGAAAATAATACATCCTCACATTCCCTACAATTTTCTTCATACACTCTGACTTTCCGACAGTCTCACCAGACCGCGACGGAAAACTTGACTTGAAACCTTCTTAGCCCATCAACCGCCTGATCTGTCAAAACGTTTTCCCATGTGAGTTGCGCACGAGCCTTAATGCCAGGTTTTAGGGAAGTTTGCCAGTCCGTTTACGGATTCAGCTGAGTTTGTCGGCCGATATCCGATTTGTTCATCTGTCAGCTGACTTTTGGCACTGGTCTGCTTGTCTTCTGCGTGGTCTACACACACAGGTTTCGATGCTCGATATCGATTTATCGACCGTGTGATTCGGCCACGCATGCAAACTGCAGTGGCGCATTCCTAAGGTAACCACATGTGCGTTTGACGGATGATATGGCAGAAGCACTGATGTCGCGGGTTGATTATTGCTTATTTATCCATTTTCGAATGTGGCTTTGTATCTGATACGCTTCTGTATGGACCTCAACTTGTGAGCGATCCTACACCAAATGTCACAGGGTAACTTTTAGTCTGATCTAGTTTACATTGGCTTTGGTTTTGTGAACTTTGCTGTTTTGAACCGTTTTGATATACTGTCTGTTTCTGTCCTGCCTAAGCCTAGTTGAAGTGTAGCAAAGGTCACCAACTCAAGTCATTGCGTGACCCAGGAGAACACAGCTTGACTGGCTTGTGAGGCATAACTTCTGTGGAGTATGGTAGAGTATCAGACGTACACGTGGTAGTAGGCTGGAGGCTGCGAACCCAGTCTTTTGCACAAAGGACGGATACAGTCCACATTTTCGCTACAGCGAGGCAAATCTTGGCCTGGGTCCTCCAGATTCATAGTGAATCACAGCCACCACGGACTGCAGTCGATCAACGCCCTTATCAATCGGAAAAGAGCGCGGATGATGGTCGCACATTATACAGTCACTTTGTTGCAACAAAATTACCGGGCTGAGCAAATAGTTCAGCTATCTTCGTCACTTCTTATACCAGCTGGTCGATTGGAAATGTACCGGACTGTTGGTAGCTCGGGTTCGTCCACTGGTACTTGGTCAGGTGACTGTGTGCACTAATCAACCGCGTACTGACGATGCCATCTGGGTTGGTGGCGAAACGTCTCCAAGCTAATGGGCAAGCTCGTCTTGTAGGATGGGGACGTCAGAACGGGACACACCAGTGACTACTGACGCTAAAACATGAATCGATCACGCAACAGGTGATGCACATGCGTGGAAGCTATCGCCTTCAGCGTGTAGATCCCCTGATTTCTCCACCGTCGGTAAGATCGAATGATTCGACCTATGCGAACTCGTCATGTTTTACATTCGATGGCAA